CAAATAGACACAAATAACCAGATTCCCCATATTTCCCAGTATTTTCTGAATTTCTGTCTTCCCCCCCACTTCCCATATTTTCTCATATTTTGGGGGGAATCGAGGGGACGTAAGACCTGGGTACAGGGGACTCGGAAATACCCGACGAGGTCGTCAAAAAAATGACGAGGCCGAGCCTGCATTTTGACGAGGCCTCCCGCTGCAGACATCCCACGAAACCCCTCCTCGTCAAAATCCGAGGCGCGGTCGTCAAAAAACGATGGCGAACCCGAGTCCTGGCAAACCCGGGTCTTACGCTCCCCCGACTGGACGTGGACAGCGTGCCCCGCCGAAGCACGCTGGGCCACAACCGGCGGCACGAGACGCTGAGCCGAAGCTCCCGGCCGTGCCCGAGGCAGAGCAGACGAGACCTGTCGACACGAAGGGCGGTGGCGCTCCAGAGGTGTTCTTGCGCACGGCCGGCGTGAGACACAGCCACTCCGTCATGGGCACCTGGGCCATGGGGTCCGACGTGTTGGCGGCCCCTGCTCGAGGAGGGAGGCCGCAACGAAGACGGCACTGGAGGGGAGCAGTAGGGACCGCTCGCGTGCGCAGGATGACAATTCAGCGGCGAGCAGAAGGGGGGGGGAGGGGGGAAGGATTATCAGGAGCACCCTGTTTCTTAGAATGTCCCGGCCTTACGTCTACAGAGAAGGCCCGCGCCTTCTGAGAAGCAGGGGTGCTTCCAAGAAGCCTTCCCCCCTCCCCCTATACCCCTCTGCGCGTGGCTGGATAATGGAGGAAACGAGGGAGGAAGGAGGATGGCAAGCCGGCCATGGCAGGCAAGTGAGAACACGCGCAACGCAGTCAATGCAAGCAGGGGAGAGGATCCAGAGCTCGAGGGGGGGCCTGCGAATAAGGGCGAGAAGGAGGATGGGAAGGAGACAGGATGAGAGGGAGAACGAGGGGGACCACGAGAGGGAGGGCAAGAGCGCAACATAGGAGCGAAACATAGGACGGAGAGCGAAGGCGGAGAGCGAGGGGTATGCGGGAGAGAGGGATAACGAATGCGGGGAAGGCGAGGGGGAGGACGAGATCGAGGGATGCAGGCAAAAAGGACTCCGAGAACGGAGGGGGGCACGGCGGGTTTGGGGCAGAGCCAGGGGGGCAGAGCAGGTGAGAAGCGGAGACACGAGCGGGGGGGCAGCGCAGAGCTCCAGCACAAGCATAGGAACCAACTGAAGCCTTCCGAAGCTGCCCCATCCCGCTTTCCTTCTCGTCTTCCTTCTCGCTCTTCTTCCTCCCGCTCCTCGCTACTCCTCCTTCTGAGTAATTATCCTCCTCGCGCCTCCGTGTCCTCTCTCATTGTCCAAACTTCTTCTTTTCCGCGCTTCTCCTTCTCATCCTCAATCTCTTTTCCTGGTGACCATTACACAAGAACCGGCTCAGCAATTGTGACGAGATTTTGGATGCCTGAAATGGGTACGAACAAAAATGGGCACCCAGCAGCAAGTGTTGTTTGAATCCGACAGCTGCCCCTGCTGTGCAGGCGGCCTTCTGTCTCAAACGGACAACGACCGCGGCGGCGCGGACAGCCAGACTATTTCAGAATGGATAGGAACAGCTGTCGGTCTTTGTGCCCGTTCTTTTCGTACCCATTCTAGTCGTCCCGCGACGTCGACGACGACGGCGGCGGCGACGACGATAACGTCAACGACGATCGACCTCCCCTGAAGGCCCCGAGGGATCTCCAGAAGACTCCCGGGTCCGCGGAGGTCCCCGGAGACCCCTGGTGGGCTCGGAATGTGCCCGGAGGCAGTCCAAGACATGACAAATACTCGATCCTCGATCCTCGATCCTCGATCCTCGATCCTCGATCTCGATGCCCGGAGGCAGTCCGAAAACTCGATCCTCGATCCTCGCGCGGTGGCGGGGTGCGGCGGCGGCGCTGCGACGTCAACGATGACGACGAGGACGACAAAGATGGCGATGACTGCGACGGTGGTGGCGACGACGGTGACGAGAACGACAACGACAGCGACGACTTCGAGGATGGCTGAGGATGCCAGCAGGGCGCCTCTCCTGGGCGCGGCACTCGTGGGGGACTCGTGGTGCCGTTTCGGGGTTGCCTTGGGTCACCTAAGCTGTTTGGGGGTCTCCCGGGCCCGTCTGGGAGGCCTCTTGGCCCAGCATGTGGCTCTCTTGGAGCTCAAGTTGTTTTGAAACCGCATGACGCTTGTTATGTGGGTGGGTGGGTGGGTTTACTGGTACATAACATAACACGTTACGCGCGCACTACGAACAGCATTCCTGTGCGCTAAACAGGTGCTGCTGCAACGGGGGTGGGTGAAGCGGAGGGCGCTACGTTATCTACTGGGTGGCTGGGTGGGTTGGAGGCCGCATAACGCGCGTTAGTTGTTCGAGAAAAAAATTCAGCTCTTGGGCCACCTTGCGTCTTTCTGGGTCGTATTCTGGGTAACTTTGTGCGGTCCTGGAACCGTCTTGGGCGCACCTTGGGCAGTCTACAGGCCCTCGTGAGCTGTCTTGAGCCTACCCGCGGGCGCAACTGGGGGCGTCTCGCGAGGCTAGATAAGCAAGCTTGTTCCGTGCTGGGGCCCTCTTTGGGAATCCGAACTAGCCCCACGAGCCCCCCTTCTGCCAGGGTGGACCCCGACACCGCTGAGGGCCCCCCCCTGGAGCCTCGAAGCAGGCACCTGGAAGACACCCACAGAGATCCCACGAGGCATCCAAGAGGCCTTTGACCCACACCCCAGGCACGGCGGAGGGGTGTGCCGCAGACCACATGAGAGGGCACCAGGGCAGAACTGACATTTTCCAACAAGAAAGGCATCACTGGGCGCCAGTCATAGGGCACCATGAGTGCAACAGGACAAGAACGAGACATCGCAACAGCTAAAGCACCATACGGCATCACCGGGTGCAAGAACGAGGAATCACCAGTGAGGGCATCACGAAGTACATGCATATTCGTCCAAACGCCTCGCGAGACTAGTAAGACCTGTTAGTGCGAGCGGCGTTCGGGGACAAGAGAACGATTGCGAAGATAGAGGCTTGGCTGGGAGAAGGATGCAGAAGAGGAGGACAAGAAAAACGAGGATCATGCAGCGCAGCAGCAGCAAGAGGAGCGGAAGGTGGGGGAGCAGCGATCAGGGTGGCAGCGCCTGTCTGGTACTTGTGGAACAAAGACCCGTTCCTCCCCAGGGCGATCACGTGCAGGCCGTAGTGCGGGTTTCGCACCATCGGGAGCTGCTGGTCGACGATGTTGTCTCGGATCCGCGCATCGGATACGGAAGCGATGACGAGCCCGGAAATCGGCAGCGACCCTGGGGGGGAAGTGTGATAAGGGCGGGCCTTCTCAGAAAGCTCGGAAGCTCCCCTGCCTTCTGAGAAGTTGCCCAAGCCTTCTCAGCAGGCCCAAGGGCTTCTGAGAAGCCCAGCCGCCTCCCGAGAATGCCTCCTCCTTCTCACTTGCCCCCCTCGCTCGCCGCCGAGGGAAAAGGAAGCCAACGACGAAGGAACGACGTCGACAGTCGTGCCTCGATCCTCGACCTCCTCCTCCTCCACCTCCTCCTCCTCCTCCTCCACCTCCTCCTCCTCCTCCTGCTCATCCTCCTCCTCCTCCTCCTGCTCCTCCTCCTCCTCGATCCTCGACCTCCTCCTCCTCCTCCACCTCCTCCTCCTCCTCCTCCTCCTCCTCGATCCTCCTCCTCCTCCTGTCGCTCGAGCTTCGACCCCGGGGAGGCCCGCAGAGGCCCCCCGACGGGGCCACACGCGTCGCACCGCCTCGGGCCTCGGGCTCGGGCCCTGGAGCCTCGACCTTGGACCGTCGATCGGCGACGACGGGGGCGACGGCGAACGGTGGCGTCCGGCGCGCGATGCCGCGCCACGGGGCGGAGGAGGCTGGAGTGTGCAGCGGGGGGGAGGAGGAGGAGGAGGAGGAGGAGGAGGAGGAGGAGGAGGAGGAGGAGGAGGAGGAGGAGGAGGAGGAGGAGGAACAGGGGGAGGAGGAAGAGGAAACGGGGGAGGAGGAGGAGGAGGAGGAGGAGGAAAAGGGGGAGGAGGAGGAGGGGGAGGAGGAGGAGGAGGAGGAAGAGGAGGCCAAGTGTAAGCCAAAGACGCGTCAACGATGTTGCCATCAACTCTCCCTCCAAGCTCCCTTTTCATATTTTCCCACCAAGAACTCATTTGCACTGCTGGAAATGCCCCGTTGCAAGACAACAGTCGAAGAATCTTCAATCGTGCCAGAACACCACTCCGTGGACTTCAACGCTTTCTCGATGCGTCCAAACGGTCCTGCACCGTGCCGAACACCATTCTTGGGACATCAACACCGCCGATCAACGTGACTGTTGCGCCCTGACATTCCTAAATCGAGCCAGGAAACCATTCCTGGGACGTCAACCATAATAACCCGCTAAAATACATTTCTAATGACGGGTGTGCGCGGCACATTTTGAAAAAGAACCGTCTTCCATCCGTAAAACTCTTGCAGTCCTACGCCCTCTGAACGCTATGCAGGAGCTGTCCATGCAAAAGGTAGGCGGCAAGGGCACGGTAGGCGCGGCGGTGCACCCATGCTGAAAGTTGAAGAGGGGGGTTGAGGTGAACCACGGCGGTTGCTGGACTGATGTTACTGGTGCATCGCTTAACGGGGCGACTTTGGCCCACGCCAGTGTGTGGGGGGGGGGGGGGGGGAAGGGCTGCGGCAAGGGAACAAGTGAGGACAATGACGATAGTGAGAAGGCGGCAGGAATGGCATGCGCAAGTGGGGCTGTAGCTGCGATCGAGACGGCGCTCTGTAGCCCTTCGCCCAACTGGGCTCTGCGGGCACAGGCTGCATGCCGCAGCCGCCCTGGCCCTTGCCAAGACGGCAGGCGGTCAGGGTCCTACGTGCCCCACCCGTAGAGACTTCTGACCCGATCCTGCCACCACGAGGGCAGGGAGGGGAAGGCAAGTGGGAAGGGCGGCGGGGGATACAGGTAAAGGCAGGTGGAGCGGGGAGGTCGTGTAGGTTGTAGTTGGGCTGGGGCCGCGTCAAGTCCAGGGGGAAGTAGGCTCTTCCTGTTGTCGCCTCCGCGGCCCCCACAGCGCTGGTGTTAAGGCCACCACCAAGGCTGCTCATGAGAGAACTCCACCTAATTACTGGTTTGGAAATACGCGGTCCAACCCGGGAACTGATGTGAAGGTAACCGTTGTGGGTGAACACAATTCGGCGGGTTTTGGAGCCCTGTCTTACCGCGGACCCACTTGCATAGCGTTGGCCTGGCGGTGAGAAAACCACTGCGGTTTTGGGAGCCCTGCGTGCCCGCGGACCCACTGCAAGGCATAGCTGTTGCGGGTGTAGCCGCCCTCGTGGTACTGTGATGCGTCGGCTGACCTTGCGCGGGTGAGAAAAGGCCACGGCGGGTCATGGAGCCCTGTCCTACCGTGAACCCACTGCCTTCGCACCGTTCGAAGTGGTTGCGGCCGCCGAGTGCCAGGATGCAGTGCTGTTGTCGCTCTGAAGTGAGCTAGGCGTGCTGTCGTGTGCCTTGTTTTTTTGTATCGTGGTGCGGCGTGCTGTCGTGTGCCTTGTGCGTGGGTGATCAAACTGCTGCTGCTGTTGTAAAAGTGAGTGCGGCTACTTGGTGCTAGTGCCGAGGTCAGGTGCAGGGTGAGGGGCAGCTGGTGGCGCACTAGGCCCTACACTGCCTGGAGCGAGATTGGGTGGCATGAGGTGTCGGTCGCTACTTGAGAGAAACAATGGTGAAGAGAGAATGTCGCACAGATGGGCCTCTGTGAGGCAGGCCCCATCACGGCATGAGCGTGGCGTTCGCCTCTTAACCAGTGGGTTGTGAGCGTAGGATTCGTGATGCGTGTTCGTCTCCAAGCGAAGGGTCCGTGCCACGAGCTGTGACTGTTGCACTGGGCCGGGCGTCGTGATGCCATCGATCACGCTGTCGGCAGGATCTATGCGGGGTTGTTCGCATCACGCGCGGTTCCCAATTGGTTAAGTCGGTGGCGGTCGTATGATTGGCTGGTGTGGGCATCTGATTCCGTCTTGTAGCTCATGTGGTCGTAGCCGTGGTAGTACTCCTTCTCAGTGTCGTCGTTGCCGGATGTGATATCGGAACACAGTATTGGGTTTCGTGTGTCAAACAAGTAGACCCCGTTGCCCGTTGGAATGTGGCTGTCGGCGGCCATGATCTGAGTCTTGTGGGGGCGTGGGTGAGGCAGTTCTTCCAGCGGTTGTGTGGGGAAATGGTATTGTTTGAGTTGTAGTCGTCGTAGTTGCTGATTCCTCTCCTTGTTGTCAATCGTGAGCGCGAGTCCTCGGTGAAGAGATCGGCCCCTCCCCCTCCTCCTCCTCTTCCTCCTCCTCCTCCTCCTCTTCCTCCTCCTCCGCCTTCTCCTCCTCCTTCTCCTTCACGCGTGCGGTCGCGCGGTGGACGGGGACCACCCGCCTGGAAGCACGCCCTCCCAGTGAGGCACCTGCGGGTCATGGGAGGAGGGCATCGAGGAGGAGGAAGAGGAGGAGGAGGAGGAGGAGGAGGAGAAGGAGTAGGATGATGATGATGATGATGATGATGATGAGGAGGAGGAGGAGGAGGAGGAGGAGGTATGTGAGGAGGAGGGGAAGGGGTGAAGGGAGGATTGCGAAGGTAGGAGGGCACGGCCACGAAGGCGTAACAGGGAGTCAGGCCGACGTTCGCCGAGAAATGAGAAGTGGCGCGGACACGCGTGCCATTCCCCACCGCCCGCCAGATGCACACCTTCCCTGGCCACTCCGACGCTTGTGGGCCAACAGCTCAGGCGGGATGGCGGGAAGAGACGGCTGCACTTCGAAGAGCCATGCGTCGTGCAGATTCGCGCCGCCTCCAGCCTTCCGCTGGCACGACACGAGCTAGCGCAAGCAACGGCCATCCACCACACCGTCGTCAAGCAACACCAGCGACGCCCTCTGCCCCCCCAAAACCGACACACGCCAACTGGATGAAGTGGCCCCGATGTCTCTAGGGACGGGGGAGCCTGCCGAGGTCGGGGATCTTCTGACCCGGGTCAAGCCAAGCCCTGGTCAGTCAGGCCCTGGAGGATCCTGCAGCATCCTGCAAGATCCTGCACCCAAACCCGGGTCAATGCTGCAAGATCCTGCGAGAGCCTGCACCCGAGCCCTGGCCAATGCGACCCTGGCCCTGCAAGATCCTGCAAGATCGGGCGCTTCGACCGGCCCCCGTCTGCACCGACCCCCCGCCTCGAGGCTCCCGCCGAGGGCCGTGGCGCGGCCCACCGTTGGTGGCCCCCAAACGTGGTGGTGACAACACCTGGCGGTGAGTCTCGGGCGATTTGGTGTCACCACCCGGTTTGGGGACTCGTGCGGTTTTCCGAGGATGTCCCGGACACTGGTGGGCCCTGCAGGAGTCACAAAACCCGGTGGTGACCCCGCGTCCCCGAACCCAGCGGTGACCTTTTTGGGGATTCCAGGTCGCCACCTGGTATCTCACCACCCGGTTTGGGGGGTCCCAACACCGGCGCAGCACGCGCCAGCACGGCCGACGCCGGCGGGGAGGGGCCGCGGGCCCGCAAAGGGCGAGCGGCAGCTGCCGAGCCCCGGGCGGCGCAGGCTGCCGCGCGGGCGGCCCGTGCTGACCTGCTGTGCGGCGCAGGCTGCCGCGCGGGCGGCCCGCGGGGCCGCCCAGGAGGCGCCTGCGGCGCCCTGCTGTGCGGCTAGTTCGAAGAAGCACTTGCGCGCCCCAGCGTGGGCGCCCCCTCCGCCCCCCCCCCGAAAGATACCCTTACCCTTACACAGGCGGGGTGGCAAGGGGCGGGGGGGGGGCGACACGTCGCAGCCGACGGCGGCTGGGCAAATGTAGGAGCGACAACGTATTAAACGTTACATGGCGCCGTCTTCTCCAAACGCTCGTTGGTACCGAGAGCGCGTGCGCCCGAATCGGCGGCGCGGCCGGCTCTCTGTTGATCGCCGTGGGGCTAGACTAGATGTTTCGGACGCCCGCCTGGAGAGGCACGCGTGCAAGCGTTGAGGCGTCGACAAGCGCTCGGGTGCGCACGCGACACCGCCCAGGAGGCGCCTGCGGCGCCCTGCTGTGCGGCTACTTCGAAGAAGCACCTGCGCGCCCCAGCGTGGGCGCCCCCTCCGCTATGCACCACGCCGCAGCCAGGAGCGGCAGGCATCCGTACAACAATCTGTGGGTTCGGCGCTCCTCGCCTGCTGTCTGGGAAGCGTCTCGTCGCCAAAGCCGGGTGGCTTCGAAAAGTACCGCTTAAACGACCTTTTGAGGTGGCAGGGGAAGAGGGGGAGGACCGGCGTGGATTGGGCTGCCACTTGAAGCGTCGACGCCAGCCACACGAGACCACTGCCACACTGTCGAAACCAACTGACTGCCTCGAGGGGGCCGTGACCGCTGGCCGACGAGCGCCGCCACTTTAAAGGGCATGCGGTCAAGAACTTTGGTTAGCGTGTCGCGGCGGCGGCCCCGGGGACACGCTATGCCGTGCGAGCGGATAGCGTGTCGCTCCGCCCCGCGGGGATGGGAGGCTGGAAAGGGCTCGTGACGTTAGCGCTTGGTGACCGGTTAGCATGTCGCGCCGAAGCGAGGTGGGCAAGGATCAGCGACGCGACACGCTAAGTCTAGAAAGGCCAGGGTTCGCTAGGGACTGGTTTCTTTCCAATGTAGCCGAACGCCCCCCCGAAATCTCCACAAAACCCTCCGGGAAGGGCTCTGGGATGGTTTCCGGAGGGTTTGGCGAGGGTTTTCGTTGTTTTTGGGAGGGGGGCCAGTCCCTATAGCGAACCCTGGGCTTTCCAACCCGACGTCATGGCTCATGGTCCTGCAGGCATCGCGCTACCAGAGGGAACGCTGACCAAAGGAGCGCGGCAGCTTTCCTCGCCGAGCGAGGCTCGGCCACGCATAGGTTCGCCGATCTAGAGCCAAGGACAACCCTAAGCCGGAGCCCTGCGGAAGCCAGAGGGGTCGTTCTGTTTAAGTCGGGCGTGTCCCCCTACAGGGGGATTCTCGACGACAAATAGAAAATACTCAAAAACAAACCCAACATGGTCAACACATACTCAAAAAAGGTCCCCGGACAATTGTTCTATTATGTTTGAAATTTCCTCCTGTAGAGGCCCGACTTGACTATCTGTCTGAGAAGCGCAAAGGGACGACGCACCTCGCTTTGGACAACCCGCGCCTCCGAGCGGGAACCACGCGGTGTACCGAGGTGCCCGCGTGGTGGCCCGCACCAGTCAGGCTGCTTCACGGGGAGGCGTATGGCATGTACTGCTTCCTTCGAAAAAAATTCAGAACGTGCAACAACAGAAACTTTGGGCGCTCCGCGCAGAAATCTTGGATCTGCGCTGCACCCCCCCCCTGGCGCTTGGAGCGCGCCAGGGGCGCGCCGCAGGCGCCGCCGGGGAGGGGGGCCCAGCACGGATCCAAGAAATCCGCGCGTGCGGAGCGCAACAAAAAAGTTGACGTTTTCTCATGGCGTTGTTTCTTCCTCGACGTCTTGCCTGGAAGTGGAAAGGCTGGGTGGGCAATGCACCCTCTGAGTTGCAGCGCCTGGGCCGTGTGAGGGCCAACGCCCCGCGAGTGGGCCACCAGGCGACGAGGAGGACGACGAGGAGCGGAGGGAGGGCGGCGAGGAGCGGGAGGAGGAGAGGAACGAGGACGAGGACGAGGAGGAGGAGAAGGAGGAGGTGGAGGAGGACTAGGAGGAGGACGAGGACGAGGAGGACGAGGACGAGGAGGACGAGGACGAGGTGGACGAGGAGGAGGAGGAGAAGCAGGAGTAGAGGGACAAGGAGGAGGCGGAGGAGGACGAGGACGCCGAGGCGAAGGCGGGCGCAGGAGCCAGGGAGGAGGCAACCAGGCCGAGGTCCTGGCGCCAACCCTCCCGGGCGCGGCGCCTGCAGGGCCACCCGCTCCGGCGCGGTGCCGGCGCGCAGGGCCGGCCGCTCCGGCGCGGCGCCGGCGCTCGTCGGCGGCACCAGGCCAGCCAGAGCCTCGCGGGGGGCGGCCGCGCGACGGGTGGCCCAGCCGCCCGCCGACGAGGACGAGCCACGAGCGGCGAATACATCGACGTCGAGCCCTCGTCGTCGACGGCGAGGGCAGCGACGACACCCACGACCACGACACCCACGACGACGACGACGACGACGACGACGACGACGACGACGACGACGTCAAGCCTTCACGGTCTGGCCGAAGCGGATCGATCTGACCCGAAGCAGGCACGGATCGGACGGATCGATATGTGGCCCACCACGACGACGCTGAGGGCGACGCCGACGGCGACAACGGCGTCGACGACTGTGGCGAGCGGCGGCGATGGTGCCACATATCAGTGTCCGCGCCCTCGCGGTCTGGATTCTGGGGCGGTCCCGCGGCGGATACGGGGTCGCACGGGTACGTCCTGCGCGGGGCATCCGTGGAACAACGCCTCGTATCCACTGGGTCGCGGCCCAAGGGCCCGGCCCGCGTGGCCGCGGATACGGACATGGTTGTCGCCCACCAGGGGACGGGGGGAGGATCCTGCTGCGTACGCAGCTGTTGCCTTCGGCTTTCGAAGGCTTTGTTCGGGTCGGGCATGTCCCCCTACAGGCGAATTGTGGAAAGAGAACATGAAATCTAATGAAAGCGCAACAATCTAAAGAGCACGAAAAAAAGGTCACCAGACTAGCCCTTGATCGTTCTTGCATATCCCCCCATATTCAAGGACATGCCGACTTAGGCTGTGTTTCGTTTGGGTGGGGGGGAATGAGACTAAGACCGATTACAACCACTCCGGATTGCTCAGATATTACTTCGGTCAAATTACAACCACTGGAAGCGGACTGATCGCAACCTGAATGAGAACACCGGGTTGCAACCGATCCAAGAGCTTCTGCAGAGCTTCTGCCAAAGCTTCCGAAAAGCTTCAGGAGAGCTTAGGAGGAGCCTCTGCAGAGCTTCTGCGGAGCTTTCGAAGAGCTGGTGAACAACTTTTGCATACCTTTCCGAAGAGCTTCTGAAGAGCTTACGAAGAGCTTATGCAGAGATTGTGCGGAGCTCCTGAAGAGCTTCTGCAGAGCTTCTGACATACAAGTGCTTCTGAAGAGCTTCTGCAGAGCTTTTGCTGAGCTTCCGCAGAGCTTCTGGCGAGATTCTGCAGAGCTTCTGCAGAGTTCCCGAAGAGTTTCAGCAGAGCTTCCGCAAAGCTTCTGCAGATCTTCAGCAAAGCTTTTGAAGAGCTTCCGAAGAGCGTATGAAGAGCTTGCGCAAAGCTTCTGAAGATATTATGCAGAGTTTCAGCAGAGCTTCCGAAGAGCTTCTGCAGAGCTTCTGCAGAACTTCCGCAACGCTTCTGAAGATCACATGCAGATCTTTTGCACAGCTGCTGCAAAGCTTTTGCAGAACTTCTGCAAAACTCTCAGCGAGGAGTCTGAGAGGCCTCAGCGAGGCCTTGTTTAAGAGGTTTCTTTGATGCCTTTTTCAGAGGCCTCTCGGAGGCCTCAGAGAGGCTTCTCTGAGAGGCTTGTCTTCGGCCTCTGAGAGGCTTCTCGGAGAGGCTTCTGTGAGAGAGTCTTCTCTGAGGCATCTGAGAAGCTTCTCTGCAAAGGCTTCTCTGAAGCCTCTGAGACGCCGAGGCCCCTGCGAGGACTCAGCGAGGCCTCTGAGAGACTTCTCTGAGGCCTCAGCGGGGCTTCTGAGAGGGTTCCCAGAGGCGTCTGACAGGTTTTTCAGAAGGCTCATTATGAGCTCTACTGGGCGCTCTATTCGGAACTCCCTTGGGCGCTCTATTGGGCGTTCCTTTCGGAGCTCCATTGCGCGCTCTATCACGAGCTCTAGTGCGCGCTCTAGTAGGGGCTCTATTTGGGCGTTTCATTCGGGGCTTTATTGGGCGGTTTCTTGGGCGCTCGGTTGGGCTTTCTATTCGGAGCTCTATTGGGCGCACTATTTGGCCCCCTCAGACATGCCCGACAATTCCTGAATATTCCCGGAAATTCGAAACTCCCTCGTAGGAATTCTGGAGATTCCCGAAGAGACCCTCTTAGGACTCTGACGAATTCCTCAGACGAATCACGTTGGAATCGTGTACGAATCATATCGGAATCGTATACGAATCACATGGGAATCGTATGCGAATATCATAGGACTTGTACACGACCCACATTGGAATCGTATGCGGATCATGGCCACGTTCGATTTCAAATGCATGTGTATAAAATGAGATCATGATCGGCCGTCCATGATCGGACCGATCCCAACCACTTTTTCAGATTCCCATTGGGCGGCTTAAGAGAGTTCAGTGCACCCTCCAGCAATCTCAGGGATTCTCTCTCAATCGAGACCTCACTGAAACGACCCAAAACATCGCAACCACTTCGGACCGATCGCAACTGGTTGTGATCAGTCCGAAGTGGTCGACGATCGGTCCGAAGTGGTTGCGATCGGTCTCCATCGCGGGGACGGGATTCCTTTCGGGTCGGGCGAAAGGGGGGGATAGCAAAGGGGGGGTTTGATAATCAGCTCACGCAGCTGATTTTCCCGGCGCCTCCCGGCGCCGGAGGCGCCCATGCATCGAGGAAGGGGGCCCTCGGTGAGGCCGAAGCCAGCTGCATGCAGCAAAATTCGTAATCCAGAAGCCGCATTAAAGTGATCATTTGTTTTTTGCCCCCCCCTCTGTCACAGAGGGGGTCAAATATGCCCCCCCTCTGTCACAGAGGGGGTCTGAGATGCCCCCCCCTCTGTCACGGAGGACCTCGTTCTGGGTGCTCTTCTGCCACGGGAGCTCCCGATACGATTGGAGACGATAAAATGTGATAGCGGGATGGGGGATTGGAGGGGGAGGGAGAAGAAAACGATGAAGGAGAGGAGGCAACGACAGCACCGATGAAAGCACCGTTTCTTTTTCCTTCTCCGCTCGGGCAGCGGTCGCCGAGCACGACGGCGCGCGCGAGTCGCCGCCGCTCACGATGCATTGGCAAGGCCTCCGCTGCTGCGGAGGGTCGACGTTCGGCCGATGAGGCCTCCCTCCGCTGCTGCGGAGGGGCGGCTCCTGTGCGATGGTTCAACTAAGTTTTTCCCAGGGATTGGTTTCGGGGGGGGGTTCGACCCACCTCCAAGTCGTGGTCGCGACCTCCCAGTGCCCCTGGCCGCTACTCCACCCACTGTGGCTGCTCCACCAGTCACTGGGGCGTTGGTCGCTGCCGAATGCAACTTGCATGTCGCGCCAGGCGGAGTCGACCATGCGGTCCTGCAGCGAGGAAGCCTCGCCGCTCGGCTGTTGCCACTCGCGCTCCTCGCCCTCCTTGGTGCGCCACCACTCATCCCTGCGCCACTCCTCGTCTGTTGGTTGCTGCCGTGGCGTTTGTGGCCTCCGCTGCTGCGGGGGCTCTGGCGGCTCGTGGCCGAGGGCAGCGATCGCGTCCGAGATGTAGATGGCGGCGCCGCGCTGCCCTCGCTGCTCCAGCGGCGCAGGCCCTGGAGATGGGCACTGCGGGGTCGGCTGCCACCTTGGGGGTGATAAATAATTATTTCTATATCCCCTCCCTGTCAACTCCCGCCCCTTCCCGACACTCATTTCCTTATGTCATCCCTCGTCCTGCTCAGCCTATTCCTCATTCCCTCTCCTCCCTCCTGCCCTCCCCGTGCTCCACCGCCCCTCTCCCCCCCTCCCCCTTTCAACCCCCCGCCGCGACCTTCCATCGCCAGCCGCGGGCATGTCGCGGCCGTCGTCCGCGCTTTCGTCTGCCCATCTTGGTGGGCGCCACGCCTGTTGGGCGCGCTCGTCTTGCTCGTCCCTCTCGCTGTGCTGCTCTGGTGCCTGGCGCTCGGGTCCGTGCTGCTCGGGCGGCAGCGGCGCCCTGAGCGCAGCTGCCAGCTGTTTCTGGGCGCGCCTGTCTTTCTTCTCTTTGGCTCTCTCCTGCTTCCTCCCCGGCGAACGCACGCTGGCCATGCGCATTTGGAACAGGAGAGGGTAGTGGGCGCCGCCGTGCCAGCGCCCCTCCACCTCCACGGTCTCTGGCGGGAACGTCTTCTGCAACGCGCGGAAGAGGGTCACCTCGCGATTACTAGAGAAGCGGTGGTCCCCTCTAGCCTCAGCCTCGGCGCGCCTCAGTTTCTCACTCTCCTTCTCTTGGATCTTGCGTTGGCATTCCTCTGACTGAGTCAGTAAATCCTGGAGGTGCTCGCGGGCGTCTTTTTTCGGGTAGTAGCAAGAGTAAGGCATCCCAGGGCCTCCGTTCTGGCTGTGGTGCCAGTACGTCGGCTGCGATGATGGGCTGGTGGAGGCCCCCGCTGCTGCGGGGGCCTCTGCCTTGCTTCTGTTACGGTACCCGATCTCACCGATCACCGACTTGCGTGCGAAGAGCAACCCCGTCTCGTCTCTGTCGTGCACGGCGCTCAGCGGCCAGCACAGGGTGTACTCGCCAGGCCTGTTGAGAACGAAGATGCCGCAGCTGTCCAAGCACGGAGTGCCGTCCAATCCGCGCCAGAAGTACGCTGCTGCCGTCTCCAATCGCATGCCTAGACCCCGAAGACTCGGCAGCGTCTGTGTGAGCGCCATGTTGAAATCCCCACAAAGGATGTCAACGCTGTTGTCCTGCAAGATGGTCGCCAACCTCGGCCGCCACGTCTTGTGAGCCTCGTTGAAGCCTCTGGAATTTTTCGCCGTGTCGCGGTGGAGGTGCACCGCGCGCGCCCGCACTTTCGAGCCGAAGTGGGCGTAGGTTTGATCGAAGTAGAGCTCAACCACCATGATCCTCGAGAACGCTTCCATCTTGCGCCCTCTTGCTGTTCTGTAGTGGCCGTCGACACTCCTTTCCCAGTGGAGCAGCCGCATTTCGTAACACAGATTTGCGCGCGCAGCGATGCACAAGGACTTGTCCTCACGCCCGCGCAGGGTCAAGTATTCGTACTCTGGTCGATTCTGGAGCTGTTGGCAATCGCCAACACTCGCAGCACGACTTCCTCTTGCTGTCGCCATCGCTGCTGCGGGGGCGACAAAAGGCCCACCGCTGCT